AATATGGACCTGTTACTGTTGGAATTCCCGGATATCATCATACTTTCCAATTTTATAAATCCGGTATATTACAATGAATTGGAGATGATGAATTGCAAGTTAGAAAATAAATAAGCAGCTAATGATGATAATTGAAATCATCATCATTCAACTATCATAAAGTTCATTTTTTGTGAGCAGTACAGTAGTATATTTGATTTGAAATTCACCGATCTTAATTTGCATAATTATATTTTGCTTTTTCATTTTTCAGTTTCTAATGTTGCAGGTATTTACGCTAGACCAGGTTGTAATAATCCTGATCATGCTGTACTGGTTGTCGGTTATGGGACACATAGGACTTATGGAGATTATTGGATTATTAAAAACAGGTTTGCGTTAATTTATTTTGTTAAAATTCTTGTAAAGAATAGGACCTTTTGCGGAAATTTCTATAAAAAGATTAATTAATTATTTTTAAGCGAATGGTAATATTAATTGAAATTAATATTTTTTAGCTGGGGTACCAGTTGGGGCGATGGTGGATATGGTTATATTGCACGAAACAAAGGAAACATGTGCAGCATCGCTAGCGTTGCTTCATTTCCAGTATAATACTCATTAAATTTTTAAATTCGGGAAATATTTATCATGCAAAATCTTTTGTTTTTTTTTCAACACATTGAAATATGCAAATATGCAATTTATTTTTGAATTAATAAGCAAAAATATGATAGAAATATATTAGAGATTATAATTTGTTCAAATATAAGAGTGAATATGCATCAATAGAAAAACGGATATAGAAATTTCTTCATCAAAGAATAGTAAAAAATTCATTTTTCTTAAATTCAGAAAAAGAACCGGAATGGAAAAGAGAAAAAGGAGATATTGGTGCAAAAAATAGTAATCAAGCAAAATTATGAAAATAGCAAAAAATTTATAGTGCAAAGACTTGAAATCGATAAAAAATTCATTAAATTAGTAATAATTTAATAGGATTTATAACCAATTGCAAGCAACCATATTGTAATGGTATGAGTTATTTATTAAATAAAGCTTGAAATTAAATGAATTTGAGAAACATAAAGAAAATAAATAGAAAAGAAACGTAAAAAAAAACGAAAGAAAATAAAAGAAACATATTCTATCAAATAAAAGAAACATATTCTATC